CTTTTTGTTTACAACTGAAAAAGGGTCCTTGACGAGTGTTTTTTATTTTTTTATTATATTATTATTTTTGGTGTTGTAATTGTTTAGACTGCTGTGTACGGTTTGCTGTTTGTTGAACCAACAGTGTGAAAACCTGCCAGCATGGATTGATATTCCGCATGACACTTTTCCACCAGAGTGGACCTTTTGCAGTTTCTAAGTTTCTTGATGTAATAAATCACCGAGTGTATAAGAAGAACCTGCTTGCTAGAAGGAGATAAGAGCTAATCCTTAATGATTAAGCATCCTACTTAAATGTCAAGCCTAGTCGGATCATGATTATTTTTTTTAAATAATTTTTTTTTTATTTAAGAAATGTTAGCTTTACATTTATTTTTTTTTTCAAAAATAAGTTTATTCCAACAGTCTTTTTTATTTAACCTCCTATAAATTGCCTGTTCAAAGTCCTACTTTCTGACATTCACAAAGGAGTAGATGTTATTGGCAGCTACGTCTCCACAGAAAGCTCATACACTGTCATAGATGACACCCCCTTAAAATACAGAACTACACTTTCTTGATGCCTTTCACACTCAAAAGCCTGCCAAGCAAGATTGTGATCTGGCATTGTAAAGTGGCACTTAAAAATAACTGAAATGCCGCTGTCTGCACATACGTAGTGATACAGATTTACATAGACATGCCCTAATATTATTTTGATTTATTATTATTGCTATTAGGAACAATTGTGTTTTTCTTTATCATGATCGTGACTACCTTGCTCACCTTGGGTTTGATCCGGTTCCCACTGAAGTCAAGGGGAAGCTTTCTGTTGATGCTAAGTGGGAGCAGAATCAGAGCCAATGCCTCCAAAAGCAAAACACCAAAGCAGAAGCCCCATCCTGTCCCAATTGAAGGGAGAAGAAAACACCCATTACTTTCAACAGGAGCAGGATTGGGCCCAAAAAGAACAGGCTTGATTTTAATTTCATTTTCATTTTTAGGTCTTTCCCACCCACCCTGTCTCAAAAAATTCCCCCCACACCTTCCCTACTTCCCCCTCCCCTTTTTGATTTAATTTGCAATGATCTTCTTCATTTTTTAGGGCAGCAGCTGAATGGGCCACATTTAGGAAAAAAAAAAAAAAAAGCATATATATATTAAAAAAAAAATCGTGAACTGTTGGATTACACCTTTGACATATCAGCAAATATCAGTCAAGCTGAAGACTTCAGACCTATTCTCTCTTTGATTGTTTAGACTGTAACATTTCTTCAAGAAAAGTATCACATCTGCTGACTTCGAAGGACATGCGCTTGAAAACAAACAAACACATAAGTAAAATCAGAACAGGAGGAAGATTCAACTGGGATTTCTGAAGAGACACTGATATCACCACAGCGGCTTTTCTTCAAACAGGAGATGCAAACCTGGATTCTGGCAAAGGAGTGCCTGTTTGCCACCAAGGATGCGGTTACCATGCAAGAACCCGTGGTAACAGTCACTGAGCATCTTTATCTGTCATTCCTTAGCTATATAGGGACCAAAGGACAAAACTTTTTACCGCAGACTTGTAGCTGTATGTAAAATATGGAAGTTCTTTCCTTTTCTCTGAGCTGTTCCTAAAACAGTTTTTGAGAGCGATTATATGAAATATGTAAAATTAAAAAAAAAAAAAAAATCGAATGCTTAAATGCTTTTAAAACAGCAAGATAATAGTTCTTTGATACTTTGGGAGGTTCTTTGGTTATACATTAATTAGAGTCTATGAAGCTTTCATATGGTTTTCTGTATAATACGCAAGGATTGCGTTGTTAAAGGCAGGTTAAGATGGATATCTAGAAAAGCAAAAAAAAAGTAAATAAATAAATACATAAATAAGTACATAAAAAGGCATAGAAAAGAGAAAGGAAAGATGGTTGATATTAAATGGAAAACAAAAAGGTTTGTAAATGCTTCTAACTCTCCCCATTTAAAATCCTAATAGTTGTACAGAATTTAAAAAAAGAAAGTTTAAAATACCTATATAATAGAAAAAATTAGACAACATAAAAATAAAAAATAAAAAAAAAAAAACAAAAAAGCAAAAAAAAATAATACTACATAGAAGTTAGCGTTAATGCTAAAAACAAAGATGTTGTAGAACTGTAATTTTTGTAGAGTTTAGATTGAGCATAAATTCCTACTCTCTGCCAATTGCTGTTGGATGCTGTTATTTATCGAGGAGAAAAAAAGGAGAAAAATGGCTATTTTGGCAGCTTTTTTAACTGCGAGCATTCCAGCTATTAAAAAATAAACAAGACAAGACTCAATTCTGTAGACAATGCAAATGGGAAAAAAAAACAGCTGTCTTTTTATCAGACGATAGTTCTATCTTGAACAACAAAACACAGCTAAACGCTTCATGTCTTCATGATCTGCTGTCCGCAAAATTCCCATCATCCTATGCTTCAGTAGCTTCCATATTTGCTCTAGAAACCTTCAGGGCAAGGGATTAGCCTAGTACCTTAATCTTAAAAAATAAAAAAAGAAAAAAAAAACAAAAAAACTTTAAAAAACCTTAAAAAAAAAAAAAACATAAAAATAAACTAAAGAAACAATCTCTTTGAAGAATTTCTGAAACTGTTTACAAGGAATTTTGAAAAACAGGGGGATGTTTAAAAAAAAAAAGATGCTGGCTCTGTTTTCTGTAAATAAATTTGCATATTTTGTAGGACTTTTAATTGTAATGATAGAGAAAAAACAAGGAAAACTATTTAATGAAAGCACGATATTTATCTTTGGTAAATGACTTTAGAGCAGTTAAAAATAAGACATTGCTTTAAAAAATCTGACTCAGAAAAAACAATGAATTATTTAAGAACACATATATTTTAAAGTATATCATATTTATTATAATTTATTTTCACAGTCTTAAAACTTGATTTACATCATTCTCACACTTGTTTGCATCGATTGAGCAGTGTGATAATTGTTTTTTGATTATTTATTTGGGTTTTACTCTGGTTTAAGGTTCTTGTTTGTTTCTCTTGGTATTTTTTTTATCTCAATCTTGAACTTTTTTCTTCTTTTTCCTTTCTCCTTTTTTTTTTTTTTTTTTTAATGTCAATTTTGATTATGTGTTGGGCCGAACCGTGCAGTCCTTACTCTTCCAAAACTCTCATGGGGATATAACGAGCATTTTGCCAGAGTAAGGACTGAAGCAAACTGAGCCCACAGCTAGGAAGTACAGATGTGTAACGCAGCTGCAGTTCCATACAACTGCTCTTTCACTCTCAATTCCCTAAAACTCCTTGTAATCTTCTGTAATTATTGAATGACGCTTTCCAGCTTAGCCCTAAATAAAGCACAGTTTAAAAAAAAAAAAAAAAAAAAAAAAAAAAAAAAAAAAAAAAAAAAAAAAAAAAAAAAAAAAAAAAAAAAAAAAAAAAAAAAAAAAAAAAAAAAAGCTGTGTTCTTTACTTCTTGATGGCTTCCCTTAATGTGTTTGCTTTGAGAACAAAATGAATCTATTTCGACTCTTTCATTAATATACATTGTTTGAGTATCAGAACAAATCCCTTTGTTATATAAAACGTATCTCATTGGATTGAATTAATGACACCATTTCATTTAATGTCTGCTTGATATTCCAGTGTGGTTTACCTTAAACCTAGTAGGTTAGAAGATCAAATAATGGTACATACAAATTAGAGTCATTGTAGCTCCCATTTGAAGCCTGTTGTTTGATTTCACGCTCATGGTTTTTTCATGCTGATAAGTATAGAGGCCAAAGCTCGGGACATTGCTCCTTTTGCTGCTTTGGGAAAACCTTGTGAAACTCAGCAATCTCCAGAGATGAGGCTCAATTTCTTCCTGAGCATCCCTCACATCTTGCCTTTTGAGCGGTTATTTTTTCTCCCCTGAAATGGCTGTACCAGAGCAGTTGAGCTGGGGCTGGGGCTGAAATCAGGAGCCTTTGCATTTTCTCCCTGATTCTTGCAGCCGCATCTGGATTTGGACAAGTTGCACCAGCTAAATCCACCTCTAAGTGGGACTAATGGTGCTTGTCCATAATTTGCACTCCACAGATGGAAGGAGCTCTATTAGTAGAAACTCCTGTTAATAATACTAAGTGTTACTTATGCTCTGTTCAGGGCAATAGGAACAAATGAGATATAAATCAGATGATGAATACAAGGAGGGAACATGGTCAGTATTTGCTTTTCATCTAAAGGGAAAGGCAAACGCAGAAGGGCACATACACCAACCCCATTTCTGTCTTTGGACAGAGAAGATGCTCTGTAGAGGACTGAGAAGGCTGAAGATGTGCAAACTGATCTCAAACATCACTGAGATAGGACTAGGACTCCAGTAAGAAGAGGTTTCTGTTAATGTTAATAGCCAAAGGCTATTCAGCATCCTGCTCTGAGCTGCAGGGATGAAGAGGACAGAGACACAACCTCTTACCTGGGCCAGGTTGAGAACTAAGTAGAGGGAGGGCTGAGGGGAGGTGAATATCACTACTTGAAAGGGAGAAACCCCACAACAAACAAGGAAGACTCAATTTCCCAAAGTGGCATAGCAAGGGAAACACTAAAAGGTGTTGCCTAAATCCCTCCCCACTACTCAGGCTGCCTTCCCCACCCTCCCTTTTGACCTTCAAGCTCCCCAGAGCTCTCCCCTACACTCGCTGAGGTAGAAGCTGTGTCTCTGCAGCGTAAGATACATCCTGATGTACCTGCAAGAACATGGCCATGTTGTCTGAACAGGATGGGCTGCATCCCTGAGGCATCCAGCTGGGGACACTTCTGGCTAATGAGAAAGAGTTGGGGGCTATTGAATGATGACTGTGAGACAAGATGTCAAAATCTTGTTTCAGGTACCCTGCAATACACAGGAGATAAAATACTCAGTGTTGTAGAGCAACCAACTCCCAAGGGGAGACCAGAAAACACTATTAAAGTTGCCTTTGTGGCTTAGGTCAGTACCTCTAAAAGTATTTGACTTTGCAGAGACACCATTGGGGTTACTGAACTGGGGAATCCAGACATGAGTATCAGCAGGGACAACCAGTGACACAGGAGGGACCATGCCTGGCCCTGACCTTTCTCCCAGCCCGTCCCCATGCCTTACACGCAAGCTCAAAGGGTGGTCAGATCTCCAAGTTCACTCCCCAATAAAGAGGGGAGTCAGGAGGAGTCAGCCCACTGGAGGTTCATTTACAATGGTGTGCTGGGGAATAAAGCACTGCTGTGACCACACTGCTGCCTACAGAGAGTGATGGGTACTTGACATACTCAACTCTCTGGTTACGGTAGAGACACAGACTGAAAAAGAATGGGCTGAAGGGCGAATGTGGGCATGTCCTTATGGTTGGCATGGCACCCTCTCTGGGCTGTACAGATACACCAGCCCTGATTTAACATTTAAGCACTTGCCTTACGGAGACTCCAAACTTCTCTCCAAAGGAAGTTCACCCATTTACAGTGCAGGTGCTGTAAAGCAAAACAAATTGCAGCATGACCCTGTTTCAGCATGGGACTGCGTTGCTGGGACAGGCAATTAGCAAAACAGACACCCCCACGTGAAGCAATGAAGAGAGAGGCCACGTCAGCCTGAGAGCCTATAGCTGCCTTGTCTGTGTGCACCAGCATGCAGCAGCATCAGATCGAGAACACTCTATTACAGAGGTTCAAAAGCCACTGGATATTTGATGCTGGCTTCCCTCTCTTATTTGTAGCTGCTAAATCACATTACATGAAACTAAAGGTTTTTTAAAGGTCAAACATCCATCCTTTGCCAATGTGCTCCTTGGCACCACTGTGATTATAGTAAACTGCAATCCCATTCCCATGAGTAGCTGAGGGCAACCTTTGGTACAAGAACAGGGCATGGTTTGCTGCCATTCTTTATGGAGTCCCATGGAGACACTGCAACTAATAATCACATTTTTGTGTCTCTAAGAAAGCAGTACATCCCTTCCTGGAGTCACTTTTCCATATCAGTGTTTCTTGATGTAGCCACTGAGACACTCCTCCTTTACACACAAGAGGAAACAATTCCTTTTCCCACTTCCATTGCATCCTCACTCCAGGCAGTTGTCCATTACAAAATTTTCCTTTATTAGAAGATGATATGGACTTTAAACAAGGCTACAGAGCTCTGCCTGTCTCCCTTTGTAACAAACATTGAAATAACATTTGAAAGTGTCCTTGCAAATCAAGACAAGGACTTCTGCACTTTCAATATTTCGGTTTCCAACAGCACATTTCTCCCAGTCCCAAGCATGACCTCTGAGCAACAACCACCCCATGGGTCTAGAACCATGCAAGGTATTTGTGTTTGTGGTCCCAGGGATATGTCACACATCACAGGGGTTTGGCAGGTGGGAAACACATCACTGGGTGCTCCAGAGCAATGTGCCAGTCCTGCCCAAGAAGCTTGTGCAAGCTTTTTTGTACTGCCCCACTTGGAGAAGGAAGCTGCTCATGCTGTTCCTTCGTAATGTCCCTTAGCCAACTGCATTTGAAAACACATGACTTGTTCTGGCCACTCCAGAGCTGATGAAATGGGAATAGACCACAGTCCCAAGGCAGAAAAATATGGAGTATGGAAATGCCTTTTGGACTGCTGTCCTACTCGCTAAGGAAATCAGTTTTTAAAACAGGTTTCAATAGCACAGCTTCTCTTTCACTACAAACACATCCCCAAAAAACACTCAGAGGGTTCCAAATTAGAGTCTTTGTGTTTTGTTTATTAAGGGTACGAGATCACTCTGATGTCTCATAGAGCTTTAAAGGTCATCATGTGCAACACCCCAGCAGTGAGCAAGACATCAACTGGACCAGCTTGCTCAGAACCTCATCTCTTTGCCCACTTGCCCTCATCATTTTACAAGCTTTTGTTAGTGTCCACCCAGCCTTAAACATTCCCCACATCACTGCTGAGGAACCTGGACAGTGACACTCCTGGTAAACACACAACAAATTCTGGTGGCAAAAAACCACCTTGGTATCAAATATTGTCTCACCATGGCATTCATAAACCATCCTGAATTCTGGGTCTTGATCTGGTAAGTTCTGAGCTTGGCATGGAGCACCTCAAATGAGCACAGACTGTGGAAGGCAGTTCCTTGCACACATACAGGTAAGATGCCCTTCTCCTGGGAGCAGCAGCCACACAGGGTGCAGTGCACTGACATGGTAAGAGCGGGTTCAGACTCTTCCCTTGCTCAGATGGAAGCTGGGATTTGCTCCCCTGAGACTCCCATGACACAGAAAATGGCCCTGATTATACACCGGTAGGGCAGTCCAGAGAGGTATTCACAACTCCTCCCATTGACCTGCCTCGTCTCGTTTAAAAGGGTGGAAATAAAAATGGAACTGGGGGGGGAAAGTGACTCCATAACCTCTCCTAGGAGACCCAGGCTCCTAAGATCACTCCCATGAATGTGATGTACATTGTACAGGACACCTCACTGGGAGAAAGGGACACCAACTCTCCCGTTGGTACACCCAGGTCTGCTCCTCATGGCAGTTT